GGGAGGGTGTGGGGGGGGGGAGCAACCTGCCGCGCCAGGACCGATCGCTCACTTCATGGCACCTCCCCGTTAAGTTGCCGCCAACATTTCTCCCCGTCGTGCCACGGTCCGCGACTGCCGCCATAGTTCCGTTCACCTTCCGAAGTGCAGACGCTCACAGCATTCTGGGAAGGAAACTGACAAGAAGGACTTGGGAAGACAGGATTTGTCCCTTTTCCTTCCACTCAAGGCGACCTTGCACAGAGACTTGTTCGCTCAAGCCTGACTGAAATTCACACCCATATGTACAAACATTTTTTTGTTTTTTTGAACAAAACAGTCAACACTGTATACATGAGACCCCTAATGCATCGACACGAACACGGAGTGATAAATAGTGTATACAAATGACACTTTAATGGAGACAGATCAGAGCTTTGTACTGCGGGAGTGACTCAAGAGAGAGAAAGGAAGCCAATTTTGTCGGTCCTCATCAACCTCAGCACACGCCAAATATCCCTTTCTTCCTCATGCGTTGAATTTTTCTTTTGTATCTGTTTTTTTTGCTTTGTTCCCCACAACTTGTCTTTTGGTTTTCGCGTCAACAGCTGTGAATTAAAGTTTTGTGCTTTCTTTTCAAGTTCAGCATTTTTTTGTTTCACGATCCTGCCTCTGTTGCAAACAACAGGTTTCAGTATTAAGCTAAACCCACTCTGCTGTTTCACACGTTTATGGGATTTTATTTTGTAATTTTTTTTTCTTTTTGTAATTTAGTGCTCCATAAGCAGTGCCTCTCTGGATCGGAGATGACCTGCATTCGTTATGCTTTTCAACCAGTCTGGTCTGATTAGCTCATCAGTGCTGGTGCTCTGTGGGAAATGTTTTCCCATAAGCTCCTGGGAATATGCCCCCCCCTCCTCCAGTACTGTCCATCCCAGTGACCAAACTGGATTTTATGCTGCTAGACTCACAGAAAAATAAGGTGGAACTTTAACTGGCTGTGACGTTTTAGTCCCAGACGAAATTCTAAACAAAAGTTACTTGTGGAGTTTGAACTTGTAAAACGACACAAACAAACGTACCAACAAAAGCAAAATATCGACAAAACCGCTTCTCTTTTTTTGCCACTGAAACTTGAGCCAAATGTGCCTCTACGAGGCGTAGAGGAGGGAGAATGTCTGACAAAGAGACGGGTTTGTCTGCTGAGATGAAACGCCGGACGAGTAGAAACTATTTTGCGTGTGTTTGCGATGCGAGCATGACTGGGTGTGTGTGCGGGTGTGTGTTTGAGCAAATTGTTCACACATTCCTTGGGACAAAAGCTGTTGTCATCCTGTTCTGTGTGGAAATGTATGCTTCGACTAAAAAGAATACCATTCTTGTTTTTAATTAGTTGAAAAACGAGATTGTTGGAACCGGCGTTAAGTTACCGAAGAATAAAGGTGGTCTTAGTGTACAGAAATGGACATCTGATTACATTTTAAGTGCTAGAGCTAACCTGGTTCCGTTGTTGACGCTCTCATGGGTTTTTTTGTTAGTTTTTTTGAATGGTAAAGCAGCTTCATAGATGAACAGGACGTAACCGCATCCGTAGCCAAACGATTCGTCTCATCCTCCAAGTCACACAACTCAAGCTGAACTGTGAAAGTGGTTTAACACTGTATATTAAAGGAAAAACAATCTTGTTCTTTCACCTGTTTTTTTTTTTTCTTCCCGTTTAATTTATAATCTGGTTTGAGAAATCAGATGTTGGAGCTGTTTTATTTTTTCAGTTTATGTAAACTGCCTGGCATAACAGACAGATAAAAAAAGAAACCTTAAAGGGATTGTGTATTTGTTTGATTCATTTAGAATTTTTATTTTCTTATAACTTAAGTGCAATAAAATGTGGGTTTTTCTTTGTTCATTTCAACGATTTTGGTTGTCTGTGTTTCTCAGTGTGTGAAAGTGTCTCATGTGTCCAATAAAGCTTCTATAGTTTGTTCTGCTTAAGAAAAAGGCAATCCATCCATGGGGCGTATTGGTTAATGTGATATTCATTTAACAAGGCAGAATAGCTTCTCAAGTCTTCTAGACAGGGTGAAATCTCTTCTCCTTCTAGTACATCTCATTCTCTCATTAAAGCCCCAGATGCTTGAGCTACACCGCAGTGTGTCCTGCAGAACAGCTGATGAAACACTGCAAAACATAAAGGTAGATCAGTGATCCTTCTAAACTAGTCAGTGTTTGTTCGTCATTCTTTACCGTATGAAATACCGCGTACCTCACGGCATCAAGAGAATGTAAGTATGAGCTCTTAGACGTAAGCTAGCGTTGTCAGTTGAGGGGTGATGTGTTTCTCTCGATCTATTGCAGAATCATCCTGCTTAAAGCTGAAGGATGTTCATAGCCTGTTGCCTAGCAATGGTTCAGCTCTGCTTATTTACCAGTGTTTGAATACTCGTTACTATAAGTCAATAATGAGTACTGGAAGAAAAGTCATACTGTAGCTTGTATAGTATGCTCTCTGCACTTAAAAAAAAAAAAACTAAAAAAAATTCACAGTAAAAATACTGTGGGGAGATTTCTGGTGTTATGTGCAATTATATAGACCAATTTGGAGTAGACGTCACAGTTACGTCACTTGC